ACACCTGTAATCCTAACACTCTGGGAGGCCAAGAAGGATGGATTGTCTAAGCTAACCGGTTCCAGACCAGCCTGAGCCAGAGCAAGACCTCCTCTCTAAAAATAGCCAGGTGTTTGGGGTTGCTGTGAACTGTGATGCCATGGGACTTTACGGAGGACGACACAGTGAGACAATGTCTCAAAAAGAAAAAAAAAGGCCAGGCTTGGTGGCTCACACCTATAATCGCAGCACTTAGGAGGCTGAAGAGGGTGGATTACCTGAGTTCAGGAATTTGAGACCAGCCTGAGCCAGAGCGAGACTCTGTCTCTAAAAATAGCCAGGCATTGTGGCACCTGTAGTCCCAGCTACTTGGGAGGCTGACGCAAGAGAATCACATAAGCCCAAGAGTTTGAGTTTGCTGTGAGCTGCAACGCCACATCACTCTACTGAGGGTGACAAAGTAAGACTGTCTTAAAAAAAAAAAAAAAAGCATTATTGTGGTCTTTGTTTTAGGAGGTTTAAGAAATTACCTTTTTTTGGGGGGGGGGGAGGTGGCACCTGTGGCTTAGTGATTAGGGCACCCACCCCATTTACTGAAGGTGGTGGGTTTGAACCCGGCCCCGGCCAAACAGCAACAAAAAAATAGACAGGTCTTGTGGCAGGCGCCTATAGTTGCAGCTACTTGGGAGGCTGAGGCAAGAGAATTGCTTAAGCCCAAGAGTTTGAGGTTGCTGTGAGCTGTGATGCCATAGCACTCTACCAAGGGGGACAAAGTAAAACTTTATCTCTAAAGGAAAAAAAAAAGACATTACCTTTTTTTTTTCTTTATTATTATTTTTTGATACAGTCTCAAGCTGTTGCCCTGGGTAGAGTGCTGTGGCATCACAGCTTACGGTAATCTCAAACTCTTGGGCATAAGTGATTCTCTTGCCTCAGCCGCCCAAGTAGCTGGGACCACAGGCGCCTGCCACAATGCCTGGCTATTTTTTTTGTTGTAGTTGTCATTGTTTTAGCTGGCCTGGGGCCAGGTTCAAACTTGCCAGGCCTCACCGCCCAGCCTCCGTGTATGTGGCTAGCACCCTACTCACTGAGCTATGGTTACCACCAGGAAATTAACTTTTAAATTAAAAATGTTATAATTGTCACTGAGTTGTGCTGATTATTATTTAAAGCAAGGGTTATTGTGGTTTGCAGGTTTTTTTTTTTTGCCGGGCTGGGTTTGAACCCACTACCTCTGGTATATGGGGCCAGTGTCCTACTCCTTGAACCACAGGCACTGCCCAGTTATTGTGGTCTTTACTGTGAACCACTATATATAAAACTGTAATTTTAGAAGTGGAAAAACAGAACAGTCTTAGAGAGACTGCTCCTTGTTCTTCAGAATCATTGGCCTTCCCCAAAGTTGGGTGGACCTATCCCCATCTCTGTATATTGGCTGACAGTGACAGGTGGCTGTACCCTTTTCATCTGGTAACACCTTGGCCCCTGACATCCCTTGCCTGGGCTGTGGGCTTCAGCAACATAGGGCTAAAAGGAGGGGAAGGTCAGGAAAAGCCCTATTGAGGCAGTGACATTTAGGGTGGGAGGTTGTCTTGCTGGGCAGAAGGGGGATGGGTTTCAGATCAGAAGAACCAGGAAAACGTCCCCATATGGAAGGAGTTGTCATGATTAAGGAACAGAGCCAGGGGTGTGTCCTGGGAGTGGAAGGGAATGGCTGCACTGATGACCTGCAGGCCCATCCCCACAGAGAAGCTCACCCTATGGGCCTAGGGCTGGGTCTGAAGGGACTTTGTCCCTTGTGGTCCTCAATCTCCTAAAGAATGGCCCAGAGCAGCTCAGCCTGAATCCTGTGGTAGCCTTGTCTCTGGCAGCCCTAGGACACTTGGCTGCACACTCCAGAGAAAATGAACTGCTAGCTCGGCACCTGTGGCTCAAGTGGCTAAGGTGCCAGACACATACACCTAAGGTGGCGGGTTCAAATCCAGCCTGGGCCCGCCAAAAAAACAATGACGGCTGCAACCAAAATATAGCTGGGTGTTGTGGCGGGTGCCTGTGGTCCTAGCTACTTGGGAGATTGAGGCAGGAGACTCACTTGAGCCCAGGAGTTGGAGGTTGCTGTGAGCTATGATGCTACAACACTCTACCCAGGAGGATAGCTTGAGGCTCTGTCTCAAAAAAAAAAAAAAAAAAAAAGAAAAAAAACTGCTGATGCAGTGGCTCATGCCTGTACCAGCACTTAGGAGGCCGAGGCAGGTAGATTGCCTGAGCTGATGAGTTTGAGACCAGCCTGAGCAAGAGTGAGACCCCGTCTCTAAAAAATAGCTGGGCACTGTGGTGGGGGCCTATAGTCCCAGCTACTTGGGAGGCTGAGGCAAGAGAATCACTTAAGTCCAAGAGTTTGAGGTTGCTGTGAGCTATGATGATGCCAGGGCACTCTACCCAAGGTGACAAAGTAATACTCTGTCTCAAAAAAACAAAACAGAACAAAAAAACAACTGAACTTTGGAAAACCACTGCTAAGCCTTGGGATTATTGAAGGGGAAAACTGAGTAAGCGGTTACAACACACCTGCAGCCTCTGTAACAAGCAGAATCAGACAATCTGCAGCTGCCCCTGCTCATCTGGAGCCACTGGGTTCAGGTCTGGCTTGAGCCCCTCAGCCCACTCTGCAGTATCCTCCTTGATCCCCCAAATTAGAGCCCCAAATCTGGGCAGCTTAACCACTAGCACACCTATGTGGCCTCACCTGGAAGGGGCAACTTCAGTCATCCCTACTCCAGTGATGAGGAAATAGGTTGGTCACTTGCCCACAGATGGTGGGGCTGGTCCATAGTGGGTCTCCTGATTTAGGTGCCAGGCTTTCTCTAGTGTGTACGCCACCGTTCCTGAGCGTGGGAAGGGGGACAGTGGACACAAAGGAGGTTGGGGAGGGGGAGGTGGGGGGGGGCTCCCTGCATCATGAGAAAAGGGAAGGACAGCAGACATCAAAAGGAGGACAGAGTCCGCTTGGCTGGTGGCTCTGGCAGCCTCGGCCTCTTCAGGGTCTTTTTGTGCAGGGTCCTGCAGAGACTTACAGAAGGCCTTCTGGCTTCTGCCACCTCTTCTGCCAAAAAAGAGCTCACTGAGATGAGTGGCAGCAGAGGCCGGGGATCCCCCGTTATGATAGCAGTCATGGGACGCTGACTCATTGCCGGCCAGACCACCTGACTGCGAGGAGAGGGCCCTGCCAGGGGGTTCCCTGCCTAGTCCTTGTTTACCTCCCGCAGCCCCGGGTGGGGGCAGGGTGAGGCGAACGGCTGCATGGCATGCCGGGAAGGTGCGGGTTCCCCTGGGGCCGGGGTCTCTAGCAGCATCCTGGGGACCCACTTCTGGTGGCTTCTTTTGAGTCCCTCCACCCCTCCCCGACACCCACCACGGTATCAAATGGGGCAGAATGAGGAAAAAAACCAAAGGAGTTCTAGGACCACACAGCCGCTTAGGGACAGACAGGCGGTGCCTTTCTGCCCTTCCTCATTCAGTGCTCCCTGGTCTGGGCACCCCGCCCACTCCGACAGCGGCCTGGGGCTGGGCAGGGGGTTGGGCCCTGGCCGGACTGCGTGGCCCACAGGCTCCTGGGCTGCTGAGTCACGCTGGGCCAGCAACCTGTTCGCAAGTCTGTGCCTAGCACACCCCATCCTGGGCATCTGGTCTTTTCTACAGGACAGTGGATCGAGGAGAGTAAGAGTCATTTTCTATGCTCACAGCTGGATACAGGGACCGTCCTGGGTGGGGACTGTCCTCTCTACTGGCCTTGCCCCCTTTGGAGTGTTGGGGGGGGGGAAAACTCAGTCACACCTGTGGGCAAGCCCTGCTGTCCCCCCCTACAAGCAAATTCCCTTTGCACCTGACTAGGCACAAGCCACTCAACATGCCCCTGGTTTCCCCCTCCAGATTTTTTTTCTCCTTCCACCAGGCCCAGCGTGAAAGGACATGAGTTAGATCTAGCAGGTTATGTACCTCCTACCCACAGGGCCCTGCCTGGGAGGCTCCATAGGGTGACATGCCCTTCCTGCCCAACTTCTTGCCCAGGCATTGAGAACAGGTCACTTTTGTCACCTAATAGCACCTTTTCTTGGTTTCCTAGCTGGAGGACTTTGGTCTGCCCCCCTTTGGCTTCCTGTAATCCCAACAGACCTGAGTCCCCACAGGCTCTTTACCACCATCTACTGAATTGAACCCTGTGCCGACAGGTGGTGTCTGGCGCCCATGACTCTTGGGCTACAGTAAACACTTGGTGACCACTGCACTTCAGAAAGGCTTAGGTGGCTCTTTGGCCGGATGGACATGGAAGCGCTCACCAGCCTCTGCCCCTATGTTCTTCCAGTACCTCTCAACTGCACCCCTATTAAACAGGTAACTTCTCTGGTGCTCAGGCCAGACTCAGGGTCTGTCCTTCAGCCCACTTAGGCGCCCATCATGGAGATGCTATAGGCAATGGAGTAGCCTGCCACCTGGGATGCTGACCATGGCAGGGTGGGGACAGCACCCTGAGAGCCAGCCTGTTCTGGCCCACGGTGTCCACTGGATGGCTTAGGAGCTTCTTGGTATTAAGCCTCTCTGTGTCCCGTCTCAGCCCTGCCTTAGGCATCCTTGGCGGCCTGGTGACCGTACTGCTGAGTCACAGCCAGGCTCCAGTCTGGGAGGGGCCTGGGGCGGGACCCTCGTGGATCATCCCCTCCCCCCCCCCCCCCCCCCCCCCCCCCCCCCCCCCCCCCCCCCCCCCCCCCCCCCCCCCCCCCCCCCCCCCCCCCCGCCAGGTGCAGAGACAAGCGCTCAAGCCCCGATAAATGCTGGGACTGGTCTCCTGGGGTCCCCAGTGCACTGGAGACAGTGAAGTGAGGGGTCTGCAATGAGAGTACCGGAGACAGCCGGAGGGGGCTGCAGTGGGCTGGTGGCAGAGGGCGCGGGGCCCAGACAGGGCGACTCGCGAGCAGCTGCGGGGGTGGGGACCAAAGGGAACAGGCCACGCCCCGTTGGGGGCCGGCCGGGGCGGGGCTTCCGCATTCTCAACAAAAGTCGCGCGCCGGGGACCCGGGCGATGCGGGCGGTGCTGCTCCCTAACCGGCGGCTATGGCGTCGTTCACCGTGAAGGCCTACCTTCTGGGCAAGGAAGACGCGGCGCGCGAGATCCGCCGCTTCAGCTTCTGCTTCAGCCCAGAGCCTGAGGCAGAAGCCGAGGCCGCAGGTGGCCCCGGGCCTTGCCAGCGTCTACTGAGTCGGGTGGCCGCCCTGTTCCCCGCGCTGCGGCCTGGCGGCTTTCAGGCGCACTACCGCGGTGAGAGGGCCTGGGAGCAGCGCGGGGGTGCGGACACGCAGTATAGACCCAGCCTTCTGTGCCTGGCCCTGCAGGGAGGGGGTGATCGCCCCTTCTTTCTCGGCGATCTGGTGGACCGTGAAGGGGGTCTTCTGCTCTGGCTTCTCACTAGGCGGGCGAAGGCTGGCATAGGCTCCCAGTTCTGTCTTGCGTACCAGCCTGGTGACTAAGAGTGGTGACGGAGGCCCGTCTGGGCCCTGACCTCTCTACTCAGCGCTGCCCCTCTGGGGCCTGGGGGCGTAGGTGCCACCCCTCCCCCTTCCATGATGGTGCCGATCTTGGCGAGGACGCTCCGGGACGTCCTCTCTGGCTCTCCGCGGGAAGAGTGGTGAGGCGGGCACTCGGGTTACATCTTGCTACCAGGTGGTAGGTTCGGATAATGCCCCTGAAGATCCTAGGAAAAGCTGGCAGAGGAGAGGGAGTGACGCAGATAAACAAACGCGGAGAGTGGGTCCTCAGGGCTGTGCGGCCTGGACGCATGGACAGAAGAGGTGGGGAATTGAGCGCCAGTAGAATGCTGGAGGCCAGGCTGAGTACAAACTCTACATTGGCAGTGGAGAGACGGACAGGATCAGAACGTTCTTCAGAGGTTTTAGTGTGGGAATAGAAGCCCAGGAGCTACTTCAGGTTCCTGCTGCTCTAGTGTGACCAATGGCTGCTGGGGGTGGGGTTAGGAGATGGTTGTGGCCTGGACGAAGGCCTGTGGCGAAGGCCCGCCTCTGGGAGGGGACAGTGCTGGTACCTCCCCCTGGAGTGCTGCCAACCTTCCTGCTAGTTTTGTAACTTTTTTTTTTTTTTTTGAGACAGAGCCTCAAGCTGTACCCCTGGGTAGAGAGCTGTGGCATCACAGCTCACAGCAACCTCCAACTCCTGGGCTCAAGCCAGTCTCCTGCCTCTGCCTCCCAAGTAGCTGGGACCATAGGCGCCCGCCTGGCTATACCTGGGTATTCTTTGGCTGCAGACATAAATGGTTTGTGGCGGCCCAGGCTGGATTCGAACCTGCCACCTTAGATGTATGTGGCTGGCGCCTTAGCCACTTGAGCCATAGGCTCTGAGCCTAGTTATGTAACTTTATTGAGCTATAACTCCCATACTATACAATTCACCAATTCAAAGGAAACAGTTCAGTGGTTTTTAGCATAGTGATAGGTTTGTGGACCATCATCATAGGTTTGTGGACCATCATCACAATCCGTTTTAGAATCTTTTCATCACTTTATAAACCCTACATCCTTTCTGTCATACCTCCATCCTCCAATCCCCCCAGCAGCCACTCATCTGCTTTCAGTACATTTTTTTCCCTGACAGGACATTTCTTTCTATTTATTTATTTATTTTTGTAGGTTTTTTTTGGGCTGGGGCTGGGTTTGAACCTGCCACCTCTGGCATATGGGGCCAGTGCCCTACTCCTTTGAGCCACAGGTGCCACCCATCTATTCATTCATTCATTTATTTATTAATTTTTGAGGCAGAGTCTCAGTAGGTTGCCCTCGGTAGAGTACCATGGCATCACAGCTCTCAGCAACCTCAAACTCTTGGGCTTAAACAATTCTCTTGCCTCAGTCTTCCAAGTAGCTGGGACTACAGGCACCTGCTACAATGCCCAGCTATTTTTTGTTATTGTAGTTGTTATTATTGTTTAGCAGGCCGGGCTGGGTTTGAACTCGCCAGGCCTGGTGTATGTGATCTGCGCTGTAACCACTGAGTTACGGGTGCTGAGCCCTGACTGGACATTTCATATAGATGGAATCATACAATGTAGTCTTATAATTGGTTCCTTTTAGTTAGCATAATATGATCAAGGTTCACCTAGGTCATGGCCCATGTTACTGCATTTCCTTTTGTGGCTGAATATTCGTTATATGGACAGGCCACATTTTATTTGGTCATTAGTTGAGAGACATTTTGGGTTGTTCCTGCCCCCCCACCCCTTGGTGACACTCTTATGATAGGTGATTTTGCTTCTGGTGGCCCAAAAGCCTGCAGCTGTATGGTGTAGTTTGGCTTGCATGGTGGTACTTTACAGCCTTTTCAGCTAACATGTAAAAACTGGAGACTACATACAAATACAGTTTTTATTAGCTTTGTTGGGGCAGGAAGCAGGCAGATAATCTATCTCTTTTACTCCTAAACTGCCAGAAGCCCCAGGCATTGGGAAGGCTGGGCCCCTTGAGAACAGGGCATAGGAAAGGATCACCTATGCTCAACTCCACAGCTCAAGACCAATCTGAGCCTGGTCAGATGTGGACTGAGGAGACACCTTTCTGAAGGGGCAGCTGGCCCAGAGGCCAAGCAGCAAGCAGCCAGACATTGCTGCTACCCATATATACATGCCTCCTGCCTCCTGCATATAGCTGTGGTCCAGGGCCTAGGCTGGGGCACTTGCTATCCAGCAGTGCCAGAGTGAAGGTTCATCTTGCCTCATCCCTGTTTCTGTTGGCTCTGGCAGGTAGGTTTCAGTTTATATCCCCACAGGAGCCCCTTCAGTACTGACCTCAGTCACTTAAGCAGCGGGTATCCAACTGAGTCCCTGGGTGCTTATGTACTGTCTTTTAAACAATCTAGATGAGGACGGAGACTTGGTTGCCTTTTCCAGTGATGAAGAACTGACAATGGCCATGTCCTACGTGAAGGATGACATCTTTCGAATCTATATTAAAGGTAAGGGCTGCTCTGGTGTGCTGCCTGAAATCAGATGCTTCCTGCTGAGAAAAAAATAGGAATTGAGTTTCTTCCAAAGAAGAGGCCAGGAGTCTGAGGGCTGCATAAGTCTGGGATATAACAAGTGCTGTGCTGGCCTGAGAGAGAATAATCTGTGCTCACACTAGGGCTGGGGGCACCTTTGGGGCCCTTGGTGAGGAATAAGACCCAAGGTGTGCAGACCTGGCCCCCTGTTGTGTTGCTGCTACCTGGGCCACAGGAGTCTGTTAACAGGTGCTGGGACTGGGATCCCAGGCTCTTGGTTGCTTTGTTGACTCAGTGGCTGGAGGGAGTGGCTGGAGGGAGTGAGGTTGGGGAGGGGGTTGCTGTGACAGTCTCATAGTGACAAGGGAGAGGGAGGACTTCAAGAGGCTATGCCCTAATGGCTCTCTCTTTCCTCTCTGCAGAGAAGAAGGAGTGCCGGCGGGACCACCGTTCCCCATGTGCTCAGGAGGCACCCCGCAACATGGTGCACCCCAATGTAATCTGCGATGGTTGCAATGGGCCTGTGGTGGGAACACGCTACAAGTGCAGTGTCTGCCCAAACTATGACCTGTGTGGTGTCTGTGAGGGGAAGGGCCTACACAGGGGGCACAGCAAGCTCGTGTTCCCCAGTCCCTCTGGGTACCTCTCCGAGGTGAGCTGGTCCTCCATGCAGCCTTCGGGTGTGACACAGGGTGGCAAGAGTCCCTGCGTCTCACTGCCTTGCCCTCTGTTTGTTCTTCTCCCAGGCCTTCTCTCATAGCCGCTGGCTCCGGAAGCTGAAACATGGGCACTTTGGGTGGCCAGGCTGGGAAATGGGCCCACCAGGGAACTGGAGCCCGCGTCCTCCTCGAGCAGGGGATGCCCACTCCAGCCCCACAGCAGAATCAGGTGAGGCTTGCATTTGAAGTGGCTTTTGAATGATGAGAATTGCCAGGCATCCCCTGTGTGCAGGTCTCTCTTTTTTTTTTTTTTTTTTTTGAGACAGAGCCTCAAGCTGTCTCCCTGGGTAGAGTGCCATGGCATCCCAGCTCACAACAACTTCTAACTCCTGGGCTCAAGCGAGTCTTCTGCCTCCGCCTCCCAGGTAGCTGGGACCACAGGTGCCCGCCACAACGCCCGGCTATTTTTTGGTTGCAGCTGTCATTATTGTTTGGTGGGCCCAGGCTGGATTTGAAACAGCCACCTTAGGTGTATGTGGCTGGTGCCTTAGCCACTTGAGCCACAGGCACCAAGCCATGTGCAGGTCTATTAGCCAGCCTTCCCTGTGTCCTGAATCCCTGCCATGCCCATGGCGGGCTCGACACCTCATAGTCTTCCTTTCCCTTCAGTCCTCACAAGAACCCTGTAAAGTGGGGAGCACTATTCTCCATTTCAAAAATAGGGAAATCAATGTGTAACTAAGTGCCTAAGGCCATTAATTTACCGCTTGGCTCTTTCACCTCACCAGGCTGCCCTTGAGGTGCCCCCAAGGTAGAGGAAGAGAGGCCCTTCTGGCCTCTGGATCTCTGTGATACACTATTTTCTTTTGTGATCATTGTCAGGAAAATCAGAGCCAAGGTTGTTCAACTCTAAGTATGATGCTGTCAGCATAGCTCACAGCAACCTCAAACTTGTGGGCTCAAGTGATCCTCTTGCCTCAGCCTCCCAAGTAGCTGGGACTACAGGCACCTGCCACTACACCCAGATAATTTTTCTATTTTTAGTAGACATAGGGTCTTCCTTTTAGTTAGGTTGGTCTTGAACTCTTCAGCCTCCCAAAGTGCAAGGATTACAGGCGTGAGCTACCATGCCCAGCTTACATTCTACATGTTTAGATTCTGATTTTTTAAAATTTTATTTATTTAATTTTTAGAGACAGAGTCTTACTTTGTCATCCTCAGTAGAGAGCTGTGGCATCACAGCTCACAGCAACCTCCAGCTCTTGGGCTTAAGCGATCCTCCTGCCTTAGCCTCCCGAGTAGCGGGGACTACAGGCGCCCACCACAATGCCCGGCTGTTTTTTTGTTGCAGTTTGGCCAGGGCTGGGTTTGAATCCACCACCCTTGGTATATGGGGCTGGCGCCCTACTCACTGAGCCACAGGCACCACCCGATTCTGATTTTATTAATCTTATTGTATCTTTTGATTCACTTCATCCTTTTGGACAAAGGTGAGGATGTTTGTTTAACTTTGAATAAATAGCATATCTAAGATGTGGTCAATGTTTGTACTAAGCTCCATGAGGTAACCAAGAACCAAGGATCACAGAAGAAAGTAGAGTGGCCCATGTGGCGGAGGGTGCAGAGTGAGATGGAGGGGAGGAAGCCAATGAGGTAACTGGGATGGAGGTCACCTGGAATGACAGGGACCTTGGCAAGGATATGAATCGGACTGTAAGAAGTATCAATAGCACTGAATTAAAGATATCTTTTTGTTTGTAAAAATGAAAGCTTCCGGTCCATCAGAGGATCCCAGTGTGAATTTCCTGAAGAATGTGGGGGAGAGTGTGGCAGCTGCCCTCAGCCCTCTGGGTGAGTGAGCCTCCTTATCCATCCTTTCACATCAGCGGAGGGCTTCAGTAACTCACTACGTACCTTCTGTAACTTTTACCTGGGATCCTTCAGAAGAATGGGTAATTGACATGTCCTTAACACTGGTGAGGTTTTCTTGCCTCAGATCAACCTTTGCCAAGCAATGGGCCACATGCAACTCAAGGTTAAATTCTTTGACAAATTCTCAAGCTTTCTATGATGCAGTGAAGTGGAATCAACCAGCATTTGGCTGGGATCATCCCCGTAGGGAGGGTGACCAGCTATGATTTCAAGGCCAGCCTATCTCCCAACTGTCCTTCATTGAGAGAACAACAGTCCATGTTTCCCCCTAAACTTAGCCTTGAGGTTTAGACTTGCAGACTTAGATAGTAGTTAGTGGAGATGCCATTTATTGTTTTTTCCTTTTTGTTTGCAAACCTCAAAGCTTCCAAGGGTGTTTTTGAGTGCTGGGCCTATGACAGAGTTTGGGGGGAGGGAGCAGTGGAGACAGGTGTTCTGTGTGACATGGTGCCTCAGGTTGCAGAAAATGTCTGCTGGGGTGAGCGAACCCCAGTATCCCCCTCCAGAATGGTGCCATCTGACCTCCAGTGTAGGCTTTGAGATACGCCCTGTGGCAGCATCGTACATCCAAGGGTGTGAAACTGGGTGCTGCAGGGTTAGGCTTGTGGCAGTAAAAATCAGCAAATAAAGGCGACTTCCAGTTCAAGGTTATAAGGGATCATGATTGCAGACTAGAAGAGAGCTCATCTTTGTACTGCAGTGGCAGGCAGTGTCCACCCAGCAAATTCAAAGGTTGTCTCTAATGTCTGAAGGAATGCTGATGGGAGGGGTGCCCACACACTACACTGCCTACCACCCTTTCCTGTGGCTACTGGGTGTGATCGCCATCTACTTCAACCCCACTCATTTTGGTTTGAGACAGTAGTGACATCTTGGCATTGCTGCTACCAAACGAAACAGCTCAGACCACCTATGGGTTCTGTACTGGTGTTAGAGGCTCTTGAGAGAATGAAGAAAAGAAATTGATATTCTTTTTTCTTTTTCATTCTTTCCTTTTTTTTGAGACAGAATCTCATTATGTCTCCCTTGGTAGAGTGCTGTGGCGTCACAGCTCACCAGCAACCTCCAGCTCTTGGACTTAAGTGATTCTCTGCCTCAGTCTCCAAAGTTTTTTTTTTTTTTTTTGAGGCAGTCTGACTATGTCGCCCTAGGTAGAGTGAGTGCCATGGCGTCTCAGCTCATAGCAACCTCAAACTCTTGGGCTCAAGTGATTCTCTTGCCTCAGTCTCCC